TAAAATGTATCAGATTGATGTGAGACCAGAAATGGCCTCTCACTCATCCACTAATAAGCAGATTGTTACATCTATACCTTAAAAGACACCTCAAGAAGTGTTGAGTTAGGAGAGCACTAGGTATTGTGCTAAGACAGTAACAGTTCATATGTTTTTTTTTGTTTTTGTTTTTGTTTTTTGTTTTTATTAAAGCCAACTTTCTACAAAAATTGGCTTTAATAAAGCTAGTGGGGGGAGTGGTGGCCTAGTGGGTAGGGTATTGCACTTGGGATCCAGAGGTTCTGAGTTCAAGCCCCACTCCCACAGACTGCAACCCTGGGTCCCTGAGCAAAGACCCTTAACCCCACACTGCTCCCAGGGTGCTGCACAATGGTAGTCCACTGCTCCCCAAGGGGATGGGTTAAATGCAGAGAGTTAATTTAGTTGCTCTATACTTGTGACAACAAAAAGCTGGGAAAAAAAAATGTTTTATGTTCTACTTATAATATTGCAAGAAAAGCATAATTTTGATAAATCTATATAAAAAACTGCCAAAATCACACTGAAACTGCATACGTTTCATGTGCCTCTGAAATTAAAGAGGCCAATGATACAAAAAATAGGCAGTTTTCTAATGATACTGCCGCCTGTGGCCAAAACACAAAACTGCAGAACTCTTCTGCCCATTCTCCCAGCTCATGCTCTTACCAAACAAGGTTTTTATTTTTATTTAACTTTTTTCACCTTACCTGGAGTTGCCCACCGTTTTATGATTTGAAGTGGATGCTGGTTACCTCTGAGTATCCACAAAATCCATCTTCAATCGTTTGCTCAGTCAGACCCATTTTACATGAATGTGTTTGACGTCACATCCACTGAACAGCAGGGCAACTTCCGACATTAGGAATATTGAGGAACAAAGGCTGCAGGCTCATTGGCGCTGAACTACTGCGGTGTCAGTCTGCTCATCAAATGATGTTTTAGTCATAGAGGGTCACATAAAAAGAATATTTTAAAGATTTTTTTTTTCAGTAAAAACTTACATAATATCTCTTTGAACTCTTCCTTCAGGTCAGTAATTGCTTTGTAATTTCAGGAACAAAAAAGTGGGATTTGCTGGTTCATGTGTTAGTAACCAGACTAACTACTAATAACAATAAAATAAAATACATTTCTGAGTATTTTATGAATATTTTTGCTGCAGCATGTTTAGCAGAGGTTGTTAAGCGCCGTGTGTCAATGATTCAGTAAGATATAAAAAAAAATTAACCAAAATTCAACTCAGTAATGTATTGAAGCTGACAGAGAGGTTGATGATTCAGCCAGACAGTGCTGAAATGAAAAGGTTTACTGAATGCTGTGAAGATCACAGACTGAACTGGGGATGAAGGCAAACAAGCTGGTGGAGAGAGTCAACATCATGACTAAAAACTGAAACCAATTAGAAATCTTGTGCAGACAAGGAGACAATCTGGATACAACTGAGTGAGAGAGGCAGCTATTACTAGATAGAGTTCCCTGTGAAACAACTTGTAGCTGATTTGTTAGAAGCAGGTAAAGCTGTTAACTAGTAGTCAGAAAGCCTAGAAAACAACAGCCAAAGGTAGGCTGCATAATAAATAAACAGCTTCTAACAGAACTCATCATTTCTTTATACTTATAACCGCTATATTTGATTTTAAGCACAGATAAATATTTTTGACTTTGTGTAACACACCCATAGAGCCCATACTTAGCAAATGCTGGGCGAATGACTTTTTATTAATATTGCTTTTTGCAAATGTTTAACATTTACTTGATCTAAAATGTAAGCTGCTAATATTCTTTCATCAAGCCTTGTCAAAATTGTTTTGATGTCCTTTAGATAGTTGTAATTATTCAGTAATGTAAAAAATAATAATTATCTTAATCGTATATATTTTTTTTATCATAAAAAAAAATGCGGAGTTATCCAATATATCCAGTTGTATTAAACTTGGAATATAAAGAAACAAATAAGAGTCAAATCTAATGGACTGTGATGACTCAGGCCATATAGCTTGCTTTAAAATAACAATTAAACATTTAAGCACAACTGTTAAAATAACTCATTGACAACAACAGTAAATAATACAAATTTTAAAAAGTGATACAAACATTGCCCTGCTGGTTAGTCAAACCTGTGTGTGTGAGCTCTGTTTGCTTGGCTCCTACTTGTCCCCTATTTCAACTATTTCCCTGCCAGTTATAAAAAAACTTTAGTGAACGCAAAGTATTACAAACAGTTTGTAGATTTCGTAAATTGTGACTGATAACAGTTTTTGCTGTCTTGTGTGCAATCTATGTTCATATATGATCCTACATAGAGGTGCTGTGTAACAGATTTCTTATGATGGACAAAAATCAAAGGATGAATCACTGAAACAATCTGTGTATCTGAGGGAGCTAATTTATTTGTTGACACCCATATGCTTTTCGCTAAATTAAAGAGAAAAAAGGGACCCTACATGTTCATGTAAGGTCTACTGAACAATTATATGTATTTTTTTTTCCGGATTAGTGGAACCATTCAACTTTAAAGTTTTGTCATTGTACATTAATTAAAGATTTATCTGTGATAGATCAATATGCGAACATTAAAATGTAATAAATAAAGAGAAACCTTACTTTATAGTAAGCAGGGACAGAAAACATCAATTAGTTTTGGCACACTCATTCGTTAGGTTGGTCTAAATATACAAAATCTACTCAATGAGATCCAAATCTCCTTTGTTGTATTGTCCTGTTAACGGTTTGGATCTACAATCATCTATTTTCTACAAATGCATTACTTTTTTTGTTGTTGCTGTTGTTTTTATATTTCAAATAAAGCATGCATCTAAAGTAATTGTTAATAGAAAAAAACAAAACAACAGAATTATTCATTTTCATTATTAATTTTGTGCAGAATGGCTTTGGAAACGTCTGCATTACAGTAGTTTTCTTGTCAAGTATTGACTAAGTTTTTTAAATTAGAGATGCACAGATAAGGATTTTGGGACTTGATCACCACAATTTGCATCCGCTGGTCGCAGATTCAAGTATTATATCCAAGAATTCTTTAATAATTTTGCTCATATACATTAACATTGTATTTTAAGCACAAAATATTAAGTGTCATACATATCAGAAATTTACCACTGTTTTAGTGAAGGAGGAAGCAGAGACGAGCTTTATTTAATGAAGTTTGAAAGATAGATAAAATAATGTGACAAAGAGGGAAGATTCTGCACCAATAGGAAGAGTAGGTTGAAGTCACATAAGACAGAGCTTAGGTGTTACCAGATTTCAGTAGCTCTGTGATGGCTCTGTTTGCTTCTTTAAAAAGAAGCTAAACAAGGGTTAGCATCCGTCAAGCATTTAACAGTTGGTGCTGGCTAAAGACAGCAAAGGGGCTCAGAAAGCACGCAGAAGTTAACACTTTTCTTCTGAACTGTTAAATGTTTGGTTTGGTTAGCATTAGCATTACCATACCTGGCAACTGACATCATCACATCCCAGAGGGAGAGCAGGCAGGCATTAGGTTGCCACATACTGACTGGGAGGACTTAACCTTGTTGTTATAGCCTTTAATTGTAACTTTGTCTTTTTTTTTACCTCTTAACATCCCCCTCATTTTGGGACAGTAATTTTATTATTTCAGATATTCATATCTAATTTCATAGAAGAAAAACATATCCCATATAATAATGAACACATATAATACTCCAGCTTCCTCCCACAATCCAAAAACATGATTGTTAGGTTAATTGGCTTCTCTAAATTCTCCTTAGGTGTGTGTGCGTGAATGGTTGTTTGTCTCTCTGTTGCCCTGTGACGGACTGGCGACCTGTCCAGGATGTACCCCGCCTCTCGTCCATTGACAGCTGGAGATAGGCACCAGCACCCCTCGCGACCCCACCTGAGATTAAGCATGTCAGAAAATGCATGGATGGGTGTTATTACTGAATTAGATTCAAAATAACCTATTGGTCATGTTTGTCTTGTAGCGCTTTGAGAGGACATAAGCTGCAAGACTGTCTTGAGGTACATGCACTAAATAAATTTTTTGTGCAGATCATCACAGGGATTATAGCAACCGGCAGATTGTCTCTGCTTGTCAGTGGGAGGACTCAGGCTCTGTTGAAAGACCCTAATGACAGGCAGGTGATGGGGAGGAAAGCTCTCACTTGATGAGATCATCCTCTCTTCAGACTTCTTCCCTCAAGTTGCTGGTATAAAGTGGCTGCAGTAAAGACAGGAGCCTTTTTCTTCCAGGTGTCCCCTGAATCCATTTCAAAATTACCACTAATCTTATATACATCAGAATTTATGGTCATAAAAAACTAAATACAGCCACCACTTGTTTATTTATGGTCCAATGAACACCAGGAAAAAAGGTCTCTGAAGAACTTAAGCTCCTGGTTCATACCTGACATGCATTATTACAAACATTCATTTTTCAATCAGGGAGCAAATGCAGTGGTTTGAGAGGTGTTAAGATTTCATCCACTCTCCTGGTGTTACTTTCTGGCAGCAACATTTTTCATCAGCTGCAGCTGCCTGAATGATTTGTAAAGACATCATCACACAGAAACCAAACCTTCTAGGAAGAAAAATATGAACAAGCTTTCCCATGCATTGCTTCTAATGGCATCTCTAAAATGTTTAAATAAGCAAGAAACTAATTTTCATCACAATATTGACAATTCCGGTCATAAAATAATAAGAAAAAAAATCCCTTTAAATAAAAATCTAAAAACTGGAGTCCTTTTACCACAAGATGCTGGATCTACACAGACTATTGATGGGTGTTAACAGCACCATCTGCTGTGGACCATTTGTTACTCCCACACAGGATCTGGAGGCTGTGAGCAAGAATTAATCAGCCAATTCCAAAGCCAATCAAAGCTGACAAGCCTTAGACAGGAAAAGAAAGCCAACAGTTGCTCCAGCTTCAGTAAAAATGTTCTTTGTATGTATATTAAGGGTTTTAAAAAGATGAACAAACTCAGAGAGGATTTCTGTAATTTATTTCAATGAGAAATGAAAAACAGACATTACATTGGCAGTACAATGTTAGGCAATAATTTTGTTTTAGCTTAAAAATCAACATGCTTTAGAATGAACAGTACTTGTTTTATGAGAAGTATTGGGTTGTTTAGTGGCTCATATGGAAATATAACAATTAGCACCTCTAATGGCAGTGACGTTTTAAACATGACACTTCTAATAGGAAAAAATAATAAAAAAAAACACAACATAAAGTAATGATTTAACAAAGTTATTGGCTTTATCTTTGTTAATTTACAGATTAATGCTTTTCTTATAAACATGCAACAAGCAGCTGTGCCTTCAAGGTTAAAATACAGCAAAAACATTAACCAATTTTTTCTAATAATCAAAACTACAAATAGAATTGCAGTAGATGAAAACCTGTTAGCATAAAATGATTTAAATGGAAATATCTGCAGTCTATCAGATTATATCAGGCTGGTGTCTCAGTCAGCTTTCTTCTTGATGCTGAACAGCTGGGAGAAGCTCTGCAGAGCCCAGTACAGCAGCGAGAGGGAGACAAAGGCCTAAAGAAAATCAACACACAGGGTTAGAACTGCAGGCTTCATGATTGGGCTGTTTAACATGAACACATGGCTGTCAGGCAGTGACTATTAGCCTACTGGATATCTGCTCAATTCAGGGATTTAATCTCTGGATGAGTTAAGGTGCATGAAAAGTAAAAAGTAAAAAAAAAAAAAAGAAAAAAAAAGAAAAAAAGACTAAAGATGGATACTGGAAAAATAAATAATCTTTAGTTTCTAAGTCTTTTGTAGTTTGTCTTTTCCATGTGATGTTATATTAATTTGTTTACTCGATAATCAAAGTAAAAAATATATTTCTTTACCCCAAGTTTCTACCTTTTTCCTTTATCATTTTCCCTTGAAATCACTTTTCTCTACACCAATCAATCTTTTATTTTTATTTTACAATATGACAGGGGTTATAAATTACCATACTAAACTTCTATATTTTACTAAGAAATATTTGGCTTATGTATTGAACACATTTTTAAACAAAGTTTTTTAATAGCAAGCATTTGAACAACTGTGTAATATTTGTTCAATTTTCAGACTAAACATGCTCAAATGTATTGTTTTTTTTCCCCTTTTGCTTTAATATGAGAAACCCTGTTTAAGGACACAAAAACAAACCAAAATGAAAAACATAATTCCAAATAACAAATGTTAGCTATAAGAAAGAAAAATGCTGGAGGATTGGGGGGGGGAAAGCGCAGAATGAACAAAGGCTTAATTTATCCATATAAACAAACTTATTGTGTTTTGATTTTAAAAAAGGGGATGGGGTCGGTAATTGAAATTATTTTTGTTGAAAAGGGCTGCAGCTTGCAGTGACAGATGGGGGTGGAGAATAGGTGCTACTTTGAGGTCCATATAACAAGAGAAAACTCCAGTGTCTGACACTTTCTTTGCTATACTGTATTGCACAAAGAAGCAGATTAAGCAGTACTACACATGCATACAGCTTCTCTAAACATTTGTGTACAAATAAGATGCTTTTAAGAGCAAAAAGATGTCAAGAGTGGAACCATGATATGATACCACCTGAGCAAAAAGTCTTTGCTACCAAATATTTAACCATGAACTGTTAGTGTTATTTAAACAAAGTGCTACAGACCTTCACACTTCCAGGTTGTCTTCAGATAAGCTAAAGATTAGTGCACAGAAACCTTCAAGGAATCGGTTTCATCGCCGAGAATTTTCTAAGTCTTTTATTACTGAGTCAAATTTGGGGAGATTCTAAATAGTTCCGCTTCCTCTTCTTTCTACATCACTGCACACTAGCACTGGTTTTCAAAATTAGAATGGGAGGAATATCTTTAAGCACCCAGACATTTCTCCCAAATAACAAGCTTCATCTTCAAGTTTCAGCCTACCCAGTTAAGAGAGGAGGGTTAAAACTTATAAAGTTGTTTATAAGCAATTTCCTTAATTATGCTAATATAGCCTTAGAATGCTGGAGAACCTTTTCATCACTCTGCAACATTGCTCGTTCCTTCTCATATTAACCTGCAGTTATTGCTGCCTATAAATTTATTCTCAGTATTTCTCTTTAAAGAAATTGCACCATTGCCATGTTTAGCCATTTTCTCTCTCTTATATGAAGCTACTACTTAATGCCATTAACAGCTGAATGTCTCTGTAACATAGTGTACTTCTATACCACTGTTTTTTATTGTTCAAAACCAATAGTTGGTCACATCAGAAACTGTAGGCACTCACTGTAGCTAAATACAGTAAATTGCTTAATATGAGGAACTGCAGTACAGTTAATGACACCCTAAAATGAAGCGGCCACTGTCACTTCATGCATGTTAAGTTAATAGTGCAGATTCAGTGTCTCGATGGCAGCGCTTCCGACCGACCGACAAAAACAACTCTTATAAGCCACTAGGAATGTGTGCAACTGAATCAGAATTTGCCAGTTATGAGATTTAATTCAAATATTTCTTATTTCTTCTGTTAAGTGCATTAAGGGGACATCTGTTGTGCCTTGGTGTTACATACATTGGACTGAATCCTGTCCAACCTGACCCGCTTTAACAATAGCTGGTCAGGTTGGGATGATAAAATATCAAACAAAATAGCTAAGACCAAGACCTCCATGTCATTTAAGTTTAAGAGTGTAATGCATATGAATGAATTCTTCTGGAAATAAAAATTCTTTTAATGTATGGAATGAAAACTACTGATTTGTGAATGATGCGTTTCTGGAACAACTAAAACCTTTTCTCTGCAGAACAGAAAAACCAAGACATCTTTCCATTGCATGTGGTATTGCTTTGGTGCAGAATGCTTAAGATAAACATTTCATTAGTCAGTAACAGATAGAAGTACTGAATGTAATTTTTTATCCAGTCTCAAAATATTTGATTCTACTGACACGTTTGTAGTTCTAACTATAAATCATTTTAAGATCAAAAGCTCCATTAAAATCCTCTATTTCTTTTATAAAAGGAAAGTTATAGTTAGTGTGGGTGTCAACACAGGAACATGGTTGTGGTTTTTAAACAATGTTCAGTTGGTACTAAGGGCCAAGAATGATCTGGGAAAAAAATCCCTTCAACCTAACACCACCAGCACCAAACTAAAAATGGAAAAAACCCATGATGGATCCATGCTCTAATGTTAGTTACAATAAATTCATACACAGCTGTCTCACTATTAAATTGGATGTTAAGAGTCAGCGGACCATGCAATGTTTTTCCAAAATGTTAGTGTCTAATTTTGGTGAAGCTGTGAGAGCTGTAGCCTCATTTTTTATGTTTTAGCGGAAAGGATTGTCCTCTAGTGCATCTTCTGCTGCTGATCCTCTGCTTCACTTTTCAATGTGCGCGATAAACTGGAATTAAGGAAATCTAAACATAACACTGAAACAAATTAACATTTCAACTAAAAAAGTTTCATTTTGTTGTTAGTATTCTTCTCATGTAATAAGAAAATGGAGTCCAAACACACCAACATATTTGGGTGTATTTAGTTCATATTTACTGTTTAAGGCAGCAAACCACTGTGATTGCATGATGACAACATGATTGTATCAGATTAAAATCAACTTTGATTCAACATCACTAAACATGACTTAGACATTTTCTGTTGACTAGTGATTTCAGAAATGTGCTGAAACTGAATTAAATTAAATGAAAACATACATTATTTTGGCAGTTAAAGAATATTAACTGTATTTCCTGGTTAAAATAAAAGTAATTAGATAATATAGAACATAATATAGAATGTAATAGAATAGAATAGAAAATCCCTTTATTGTCCCCCAATGGGGAAATTGTGGTTTTACAGCAGCAAAGGTTATAGCAGAAGTGGTCACACAATGTGGACCTTAGAAAGTGATTAATAACAAGAGAAAATAAAGAAATAATATACAGATTAGATTAATTAAATTATAAAAGTAGCTACATGTACAGTAAATGAAAACAAGCTCAGTGTTTATCTCATAAGTGTGACAGTAGATTTGTAGCTTGAACAACATAGTTAGACTTGTGATATGTTGCTAGTCTCAGGATGATGTTAAAAATGCGGCTCAGAGGTTAAGTAGTGGGTCCCGTCTCCAGACACTCTCACGACCGGGGTCAAAGGGGTTGCAACCATAGGGGACTTCACTATTCGGAGAAAATGGGATGAGGGAGGGGGTCTTTCTACCAGAAACAGCCCTCGCCTCCACCCCTTGCTGAGTTCTGGCCCATAAACTGCATCCTACATCTCAACCCAAGCCAAAAGCAGAACGCTGTCCATCACGGAAAAAAAAAAAATCCTGATGGAAGGGGAAAAAAAAAAAAAAAAAAAGGTATTTGTCCTGCTTTTCCGCACGGCAGCTGTTTTTCTGTGAGAGCTTGACATCCTCTCACTGTTCTCTGCCTCTCAATACCTTCACTGAGCTCAGCCTTCCTGCTCTAAGAAAACATGAGCAAAAGGATTGATGACCCAAAGAATTAGAAGGAACTGACTTGAGCTAGAAGCAGATTAAAACATGTTCAATTTCTCTTTTAGGTGATACTGATTTACATAGAAAAGCGTTTAGTTTAAGAATGTATATAAACCTGTTTTGAACTCCACTTGCAGATGGGCTCTAATAAGTTAGAGCAGAAGATTTAATAAAAATGATTGTAGACCTAAAAATGGATAATAATTTTGTGGATTTTATTGAAATAAAAATTATACTGAATGCAAAATATTCTATTCAAATTCTTCTTACACAAAACAAGAAAATTTTGTAAATGTACACTTTGATTTAATTTTTTTGTTGGTGAACAAATCCAACTACTTTACTTTTCCAAAGAACAACAAATAGACACCAAAAGTGATCATGTAGAGATTAACTTTCTGTTCTACAGGTTTACTTTGTGACTCGTGACTCACAAATGTGGTGTTTAACTTTTTGGTGCACAAAATGGCCTTTTCATTTTCATTCAAAACACAGATATTTAATTTCAATTCATTGAATTAAAATGTTGTTATAAAATGCCATCATGGTTATATCTAATTAGTTGTGTCTTTGGGTATACCTACATAAAATAATAAAGAGAAGCACACTAAAATGAAAACTTCAATTCACATATTTGATTTTTAACATGTTATTATTCAGTTTTTCTTTATATAGATTTGATTGGTAATATGGATCGACCTAATTCAATAAATACAAAGACACTAAATATATCAATCCTTTCAACAAGAATAAATATGTGTAGCTTTTATTTTAGTAAGTAAGGTTTTAAAAACAATAAAAAACAGAATAAATTAATACAATTAGAAGACCAAGGTATGGGGCTTTCTAAAAGTTAAAACAAAATCGAGTGTAGTTGCGGATATTTAAGAACTCTGTCCCCTCCGGGTTTTAAACAATTATTTTTAGCATTATATTTCATTTATGGACATCTTATTCTTTAGCATGATTCAAGCAATCAATTATAAAAATAATGTAACTGACTTAATTAAAATGTCCCACTGTTCAAGTATCAATTTTAAGGGTCTGGATGATAGTAAAATATTGT